TGGCAAAAATGTCATGAACATAGCGACCGCAGTGATTTAGCTTATTGATCCAGAACCTGATTCGCGAGAGCGGATATCCTGCGAGATAATTGCAAAGAACATGGTTGTGACAAAAGTAATATCCACCACCTTTAATGTGGAGCTCCTTAGATGCCGCACTGACCAAGCCGTGTTACGAACCACCCCAACAACGGGAGTTCGGGTACCATTCTCAACCAACTTGGTCTTGCACGGGGACATTTTGTATGGAAAGCATTTAAAAACTAGCATAGTTTTCCAGCTCAGACAACCTCCATGTGCATGCACTCATTTACTTGCTGCTGGGGAGCATGTTATATCCGTCACGCGAGTTGGCGTCCGTGCAAAAGAATAAGCGAACAACTCCCGGTAGGGCTGGAAAAAGCAAATTTTTGACTTCGGACATCGTGTGGACCTCCAACGAGGCCTTCCGAATGCATTCTACGGTACAACCACACTACCCAAAGTCCCTGGGTCGGCGTCGGGTTGAGGAAGCTGGGTTTGTGTGTGCATCCAAGAGCCTACTGCAATATCCTCCCCTAACATGGCCAGCAGTCGCTTAACCACCCGCATTCTCCTGCGTTCTGTTACTAGCTCCCTTCACCCTCCCCCTTCTGGACCGGCTCCAGTAAACCCTCACTCCCCTGCGTAATTAGCCATTCCCTATTGACCATTAACCTCCTCGCCTTCTCCCTATTCCCATGACTCACTTGGATGTAATGACAAACATAGATGACTGGCTGATGACGGCTAATAAGCCAGAAAGGGCCATTCCGGTCTCCTTATGACTGGCTGATGACAGCTAATTAGACAGAAATGGCCATTCCGGTCTCCCATTGCTTTGTCGGATCCACTTCTTCCTCATATCACCTTTGTCACTATGTAACGATCTTTGTCGGATCCACTTCTTCATCATATCACCTTTGTCACTATGTGACGGTCTTGATGGTTTGCGTTGCGAGCTCCTTGGCAAAGCGGAACCTAATTGTTCCTTGACTAGATCGGTTGAAACCCCTACATTCATAGATGACCCCGTTCCCATCTGGCTTTACCTGGCCGGTGGCAATTTATCGGAGGCCTGCGTATGTTCGCCAAAAGCTTTTCGGCACTTAGAATAATATGAGGACGGATGAGTAAAAAAACTTGCATTTGAGTGCGTTCAGAGATAAGGGGTAGGTTTATAAAGAAGGCTCGTCGGAAAATTGAGTTTTACTCGTGAAGTTTCGAGCTGATGAAACTATCTTTTCGTCAGACTGAATGACAGTGAGGGCTGGG